GGTGGTCCTGCGCTACTCATGGAAGGCGGCAGGACCCCATTGGCACTTGCAAGGGCAACGTGGGCTGGCCCGCTTGGTCCTCTCCAGCAACCCCGTTCTGGGAAGCATCCGCAAACCTTCTCTTTGGTGAACCCGGGAAGGGGGTGATGTTGCAGGCCAGTTTCTGAAAGTTTAACTGGGGGGGGACGGATGCCTTGGGGTTCAGTTCCGGAGCTGGGCTTGGGGGTGGGTGGGAAGAAGGTGGAACCCTTTTGATGGACGGTCTTTCCGAAGGCCTTCCACGTGAGGAAAGGGTCGCTCCGGAGGCGCTTGGAAATGTTGCCTGGGTGGAAAAGGGGGCTGGAGCATGTCTGTTTCCCTCTCTTGCTTCTTGACATAGTTCAGAATTCATTGGTCAAGTTTTCTGTTACAAGACGTGGTGGTCAAAGGACTGTAAAAATAAGAGGCCCCCCATCCTGCTCGCCACCGTCTGGAGGGTTCTAGAGCGAAGGGTCTGGATGCGGAGACTCATCCGCCACAGGCGAGGGAGGCTTTGATCGGGGTTCCTGCTCTGAGCTGGGGGTGGGAGTAGATGGCCTCAAGGGAGCCTTCCCATTTTCAGTTTCTGTGTTGTTGGAAGTGCCCAGTCAAGTTTAGCGGCTCTTCCTCCTTTGGAGACACCGTGCCATCCATGTCGTGCGTTTGCTAGGGGATGTGGTGGTGGTGCTTGTCCTCGCACCGACGGGGGGGTTTGGACCGGATGATCTCAAAGCCCCCTTCCGACCTGTACATTTCTGTAATCCTGCGGCCTGGGCAAGGTGAGCCAGGACGACCACAACTGGAAGGGCACCGCAGCCCCGTGGGAGGCTAGATGATCTCCGCCCACAAGCGCGTTGCTTGCCAGGCGCAAGTGATCTCCAAATTTGCCTCCTCTTGTTCTCTCCCCAAAAGGACCCATTTCCCCTCCCTGCAGCCCTGGTTAGAGTTGGACTTGATCTGCCTGCTGGAGAGATGAAGGTTTTTGGGGAAGAAATTGCACATCGAGCCAGCGTGCCTTGGAGGGGGGAAAAAAGCCTTGTGTTAATTCCTCAGTAAAATGTTGGGTAAGGTCGACTCCTTTGAATGGTGGGCAGAGCAAGAGAGTGGCCCATGCAGATGGGAACCCCGCGTGCAAGTTTGCCTTGCTGAACCCCAATTTGGGGGGTGCCTTTTAGATTGAAGAACGTTTTTTCACATCATGCCGCGGAAATGTGGCGCCACGATGGCTGATTTGGGGCCGTGTTGCGTTTCGAGAGTTGCTTTTGCACAAATAAAAGGGGGAGCATGTTACATTGATCTCCTGCGAGGCAAAATAACATCTGTTTCACCCTTCGCTCCCCCCATATGGCAAAATGGGGACATCAGTGTATCCTCTTGAGGCCAAAATAGGTACTTTGAAAATTTCAAAAGTATTTTGCAGAGGCTGCCTAACCTGCCTTACATCCCCAGATGTCCTAAAACTTAATTTTCTTCTTTCCTCTTTTCGTTTGGACGAGCAGAAAAATACGCTCTCGCTCCTTGCAGGGTTTCAGATGGAGATCCCAGTTTGCTTGGCAGCCCTGTCCAAAAATGAAACAGACCAGCATGTTCACCTTCTTCCAGGTGGATGATCCTGGTTGGTTTCACGGCCAGCTCGTTTCATTCGGGCCTGGTACACAGCTAGGCAGCCGGGCTTTCGATGAACCCCAACAAAACAAACTTACGGCTTGACAAAAGGGCAAAGAAGCCATCATGGTGCCTTCTGAATTTTTGATCCACCCAAAGCGTTGAACCTTTTTCACCCTCCCTCTGAATGACCAGCTTTGGTGGTTTACCAAGTTAGGTTTTAGGGTGTTTGAAGTTGCTGCTGGTGGCTTTTTTGGAACCAGGCTGAATTAAGCATCCTGCTTCTGCCATTAACCGAGCGGGTTCGTGTCTTGGAAAAACTCTGGCCGGTGACCCCAATTTTTACAACAGAGGAAAAGGAGAGTAATTCCCATCCGCTGGCCTAGAACGAAGGCAGAGACACTTGAGTGGGGCAGAGCAGTGGGATTTTGTTTCTCATTGCGCTGTTGTGTGAACCTCCCACTCACCCATCCTTTTCTCGTTGCAAACTCTGCACTGGGTCCCTACTTTCCCCCACAGCACCAAAAACCCACCCCAGAAGGGCCATCCAGGATGGGCTAGTTTTCCACATTGTCGTAGCCGTTTACAGAGGCGGCTCCTGGCTCCGCTGTTACTATCCCTCGATGGACAAACGTATTTGCGCTGGGCTGTTGAAAGCCTCTTCGCAGAGGACGTGGTCGTTTGCCACCCGGTGGCGCTGAATTGGAAGCTCTTGCATCAGTGGACTTGCTTGGTATTTATTTAACATTGAACGTAGTCATTGCACTCAGCCTGAAGTACTGTAGAGCATTTCTCCTTTGAAGCAAAGGTGTTCTTGTTTTGTAACCCTTCCTTTGGAAAACTTGAAATGGGACAAATAAAGAGGTGTGTTAAGACTGCCGGCGTCTGCTGTGGGGGGCCGAAAGAGACTGCAGGGGTGGTGGTGGGCCCCTGAAGGGGGAAGACCCTGCCACGCAACGATCAAGATTCATGGCCCTGTAAACAGAGAAATTCTTAGTGGGCCCAAATCTCTGCATTTCACAAGCCCGGGATGAGCTGGTCACTCCTGGTTTGCCCTCCTTGCCCCATGCCTGTGGGGCTTCTTCCCCTCTGACAAGCAAAATCCCCCACAATTTACAAATTGCAGAAACAGCCAGGCTGTGTGACAGGGCATCGACAGCTGACAGGAGAAAACAATGCCACATTTGCTGAAAACCAGAGCAGAAAAGCTCTGTTTTCTCAAGCGGAGAACTTACCAAGAGATGCCAGGGCCCTTTTGTGGGCAAAGGGGGTGTTACAGCTACGTTGTTTTTTCTCCCTAACCCCTGCATCTTTTCCCTACACCAAGCCTAATGTGCATAGCGTGGTTATTATGCTATTAAGTAATAATAAATTGTTTTCTTGGCGGGTCCTGTGTGCTGAGCCACAAACTAACCGCATGGGCTGTGTTCACACAATGTGGCAAGCCAACAGTAAACTTGGTTCCAATTGGCAGTGCTAAGCATCTTCCACAAGCCCGGTTTGAGAGCCCTTTCCCGCTTTTGCTGGCCGTCCTCTCCCCTTTTTGTTCATCATGCCACAAGGGGAAAAAATGAAGCCCACCAGCTTCTCCCCCTCCCCGGAGTGTGCCCCACGCCCGGGTGCCACAAGCAGGCCAGAAGGGTTGGCTAATATTTATTAAGGGAAGGGCCCGCGGAGGCCACGCTGCTACATTCCACAGTCGTCCGGGATCGCGATAAGGAAAGACTGTTCCGTGACCTCAGCGGGGGCTAAATTCTCATTTGAGCAGTCTCTCTGTCCGGGGAGATCCACGCTCGGGGAGCTCTGCGCCAGGGCCTCCACAATGACTTCTGCAGAGCCCACCTCCAGCACGTTTGGGGACTGCAAAGCCACCACCACCACCTTCTCGTCCTCAATGACCAGATTGCGTAGTTTCCTCTGACGGGGATTGTAATTCTTGACCCGGTCGTGGATTTCCATGTGACGCCTCAGGTGAGCCTGGCCGAGAGAGAGAGCAGGTCAGAGCCACGGCAAGGAAGGCCCCCGAGTTCAGCTGCCCCGCCATCGTGGGGTGGACCTTCAGGGAGAAGGCCTCTGCCTACGTAACTGGTGCAGAAAGTACAATACTAGCCTACCTCCCAGGGCTGGTACAACAAGAGAGAAGGAATGCTCTGATACAAGAACGCTATATCTTTCTTAGGTAAGATGTAACAGATGTTCTACTGGGGAACAACAGCTGGGAACAGCTGGTCTGGCCCCTCCAGATGGGAAAAGCCAGCGGAGCTTTTCAGTTTTTAGCCAAGGCAATTCTGACTGAGGACGGGGGGGGGGAGGCTTTAGACGACTCCTCCCCACTTCCAGCCGACAGAAGAGAAGCCGGAACGTGGTGCACAATACCTGTCGTGTGAATTTGTATCCACATTCCGTGCACTCAAACTTTCGCACCCCTTTGTGCCGGCGGACGTGGACGCGCAGCTGTTCCACTGCTATGGGGGGGAAATGGGCTGGTTAAGTGGCGGCAGGATCCCCCCTTTGCTCCCCACAATTAGGGAGTCCAAAAAGCGAGTCAGCCCTCCCCTGCTCCCCAAGGGAAGAACTCCTCTTCCCTCGCCTTCAGCCAGAGCCTGGGAAACGCTGTCCTGCCCACCCCAATCTGCGTTAGGTTACCTTTGAATGTTTTCCCGC